TCTTGCCATTGGCATGCATTGGTATTACTGGTGTGTGTGTGTGTGTGTGTGTGTGCATGTGTGTATGCATGCATGTGCAATATTATGGCTGGTGACCATTGGGACTGGTGGAGTCAAAAACAGTGAGGCCAATGGTAGGTGGAGCCAGAAACAATGACAGGCAGAGTCAAATAATTTTACATCTGTCCCTAACCTCCTCTTTGAAAATTATTCAAGGAGAAACTCTAAGACAAAGGAGGATGAAGCAGGGCTACCCCCTAGACTGTTTGTAAGGGAAAAGGTGGGGAGGTGGGGGCTGTCTGAGGTTGGCTGTGTGGTGGCGTTGGGGTGTTTGATTCAATAATAAGTGTACTGTGTTGTCGTTTCATATATACTGAAACAATCTAAGGATCACTTCAGCCAGCTGTTCATTGCTGAAGTAAAAACTCTACATCCTCTTACTTGCAAGCTTTGCCTCTTAGTCCCACTTGGGAAGCAGTTGGCTATGAAAAGTACTCTGCACATGCTCACAGGATCTTTGTTATTATTGAAGTGCCAAGTGGTGGTGTGTGCAGTTCTGCACACAGAGACACAACAACATATAAATGGGGTTCTTGGCAGCAAAAGCCAAATTACTCAGCGACAGGAGCAGGGTTGATTTTTCACTCTAGTCTTCCTTGAGTGGTAACATACATGATCTTGAGTCAGGGTAACATACATGATCTCTCTCCCCACACACCTGGCATGAAGTTTGACCCTCACGATAACTCTGTGCTGTAGACTAGGCTGAATATGATGACTGGCCATCGGGCAGAGCCGAGTATTTTTTCCATCCCAGCCAAGAGCAGCATTCCCTTCTGAGCGACTTCTTGGGGGCCGCATGGTGGGCAGGGCCAAGTGCAAATGTGGATGCAGCCATACACACAAACATTGGTCTTGCTACCCAAACACAACACATCCTCAGGAAGTCATTTGTTAGGTGAGCTTTCGCATAATGACTCAACAAGTTCCATCGACTCCTGTGGGAAAATTTCTAATGTGTTCCTGGCCACAGAATCTTGACTTCAAAGCGATGAGAAAATCCAGGAAAGCCCTCTGAAACCTTGCAAAAGGCAAACAAGGGAGGGAGAAAATCCTTTCTTATTTGTCCGATCTCTCCCCCCCCCCCCAAGGTTTCTGGTGAAACAGCTGTCACAGATGAACAAAACACAAAAAGTAAGGCTTATTACTATAGTTTATTTGTTTAGAGTACCACATGTAGGTTTGGCTGTTTGGATATCTGAAACTGCAGTGTATATAGTGAGGTTTTAGGTACTGATTCCTTGGGTTTGGATAAATGAATGTACATATAATGAACGTTTGGACAGCAGGACCTGTATGTGCATTTCTGCACATGCTCACACCTCCCTATCTATCCTCCATCCAGACAATCAAGCAGCACTAGTTCAAGGATTCATTCCAGTCAGGCAAAAGGTTTGAGGAGAGTATGAATGAAGCAGGGTGATGGGGGTAGAGCGGCTGGATCAGTAAGGGGTGTGACCTGGGAGCTGTCTTGAGGGTCAGCTAGAGAGGTCTGGGGGAGGCACATTCAGCCCCTGAACCCGAGCTTCCACCTGCCCTAGGACATCCAGTGAGCTTTATGACTCAGCAAGGAATCGAAACTGGGATTCTCCAGTTCAAGCCCAGCAGGCTAACTACACCATCATGCCAACTCTTTTTGCCAATTAGCTGCTGCCGCCACCACCAAAGGAAGAGCCATGACTCAGTGGTAGGGCATGTGGTTTGCATGCAAATGGTGATAGGTTCACCTCCCAGTATTTTTAGCTGGGCCTGGGATATTCCCCTGCCTGAAATCCTGGAGAGCTGCTTGCAGCCCATGTAAAACAGCTTCCTCTGTCCCTGCCAATCAGCAGAAGGAACCTGAGAACATTATGGGCTTAGTGGAGGGGTGTTCACATCCCTCATTAAAGAAGTGCACAGCCTATGTAACTATATGCACACAAACAACTGACCTGTACACTTGTACAGTTAGAGGCACCAACTCCAGGAGCTCCTGGGAGCCCGGGCATCAACAAACATTTTGCTGTGGGTGCCCAGCCTCCGCCCCCCACTGCTGCCACCGTCTGCTCCCTTACATCTGGTGCTCTGGTGCCATAGCGGCGACTGGGCCAGGGCCTGTGCCCCTGCCTTGGCTCCTCTATTGGGCCCCACTGCGGCCACGGTCACATCTTTAGCCACAGTGGGCCCCAACAGAGGCCCTGCAGGCCCAAGCCCAGTCACCACCATAGTGCTAGAGCACGCACACACCTGCCTGCCATGCTGTCATGATGCTGTGATGTCACACCATGATGTCACGTTGCGCCACACCATCATAACATTGTGTCACGTCACGTGTGCCATGGGCACCCAATTTGGCGCTGCTATGTACAGTTGTTCATGTGCAACCTTAAATGAGTACATACTCTATGTAAGCACAGGGGCTGAAGTTGTAGTAATCAACAAGTGTGTGCATTTCCACCCAAACATTTGCGCATGTGCAGATACAGTTTGTACCTGTGCTCAGACTGACGTGCGAACAAGCCTGTAGGGATGTGAGTTGGACAATGGGCTTCCGCCCCCCCCCCCAGCTATCTGAATCAGGAAAGCCAAAGAGAAGAGCAGCAAAGCCCTCCCCACCACACCCCCCAAACTGCTTAGCCTGAGTGTCCGAGACGACAGATAACCAATGTTATTTAATTTATTTTTTCAAAAGGAAAAATAAAGGCGGGGGAGGAAGTTGATAAATAATGTAAACTGGAGAATGCATTAATGAAAGGCAGAACAAAAGGGAGGAGAGGAAAGGAAGGATGAGGCAGAGCAGGAGAGAGAAGGCCAGAGAAGGCGGGGGCGAGTAGGAGGGAGACTGGGGGGGGGATATATTCCTGCCCTTATTGATTGTATATGATTACATTAGGCCTATCAAATATTTATAATACATCCCACAAGAGGTCATTGTATGTGTCCCCCCCCCATACAGCTGTGCTGTGGTGATGGAAGCAGACTCTAGGACAGAGCAAACCTAGGCTGGTCAGCTGCTCCTCCTCCCACCTCTTCTCACTTTCCTCTCATCTCGTCAGCACTTGATCTGAATCCAGGCTCAGTCACTTCAGGGCAAAAAGGGCCATAGCTCAGTGGAACAGCACCTACTTTGCATGCGGAACATCTCAGGACTAAACCCCAGAATCTCTAGTAAAGACTCCTTCCGGCCTGAGCCCCCAGAAAGCTGTTGCCAGACTGTGTAGAGAGTAAAGAACAAGATAGAACAGTCAGACCATTGGCCTATCTATTTAGGGTAAAGCTCTGTACCTGCTTTTGCCTGCAGAAGGTCCCAGGTTCACTCCCTGATGGCAGATAGGCTGGTCGAGATCCCCTGCCTGAAACCTTGGAGAGCTGCTGCCAACCAGTGTGGACAATGATGCGCTAGATGGACCAATGGTTTGGCCCAGGATAAAGCAGCTTCCAATGTTCCTATGACAGTCATACTTACTGAGGCTTATGTTGCTGTCTCCTGCTATAGAAGTTATTGAGTTAGAATGGACCTCAAGGGTCATCTATCGTTCTGCAAATTTGGGGAACCCATCCCTGATAGGTGACTATTCAACCTCTGCTTCAAAACTTCTAGTGAAGGAGAGACCAGCAACGTCTGAGACCATCTGTTCCACTGCCAGTGGTGGGTGGGACCTGAGGCAGAAATAGGCAGAGCAACAAATGCAACTTGTATCCTTGTACAGCAGGCTAGTTTCTACACACACACACACACACACACACACACACACTCCTCCATCCTCCATAGCATGAGGCATTATCACAGTTCAATGACACATCTCAGCTGGGCAAAAACTCTCAAGGTGTAAAGCAGGCCCAGTGAGGATCATGGTCTTGGGATAAGGGGTGTTGCATGGGAGGAGTTCTGAGGGGCAGAAATAGAGGCCTCAAGGTCCACATTTGGGGCTTGGGGCTAAAGTTCCCCACCCCTACCCTAGGCCCAAGATTCAAATGTAATAGCCTTAGAATGGCTAATGTTCTTGAGATTAAAACTGAGATTAAAAATGGACGCCTCAAACCTGAGTCTCAGGTCCAAGGCATATAGAGCAATTGTATAACAATTTTAAGAGTTTCCTCTATTTGTGAAAATCAGGGCTGAGTGCCAGTACTTTTGCAGACAAAATGGCACCATCTCTGCACTCAAGGGAGGCTTTAGCCGACTTGGGGACACCCCAACATTTGCAGTAGTGCAAAAGGGGGGCAATCATTTAAACCATTCCCTCTGTTCCCTGAGTCATGTCAAGAGAATGCTTGAAGGACGCATATAATTTATTTGTGCACTGCAGGAAATCCTTGTGTGGCCAACGCAAACGCAACTGCTGCACAGAGTGTCTAGCATCCCTGAGTCACCACCATTGAAAATCCGGCATCTTCTAAGCGGGGGCAGCAGCAGTCGGCAGTGCAGCCTCAATAGGGGCCCTTTAGAAGAAGAAAAAAAGCTGAGTGCTCCAAGCATTAAGAGGCACATGGACCCAAGTCGAGAGAAAGAGAGCTAGACAGAGGAAATGTCTTAATTTAATTGGGTTTTAACAGCACATTTAGTTCCCATCAGACCAGTTTCCGTTGGCCTGCCAATCTCTCTGCTCTACCATTTCAATTAGCAGCACCTGAGTCAGCAAGCTCGAGGGGTTGGGAAGCAGAAGGAGACTTGAGGCTAGAGTTACAGCAGGCAAACAGATGGTTGCAAGGCGGAGCCCACAGGAATTAAAGGCTGAGGCTTGTTATCTGAAGCCAGCATCTTCCCAGCTGCATGTTCTCTGTGATCTCCCTCATTGTGAGGCCCTCTAATGTTTCCTGCTGTTATATGTTCTGTGTAAATCCAGGTGTGTTTGTGTGTGCATGCAGGAAAGGGCCTAAAATCATTTGCACAGTGCATGATGGCTCAGCCTTCACTGTTAAAGGATACTATTAAGAGTTGGCAAGGCCCTCGGGAAAGGGCTGTGGCTCGGTGTTAGCGCATCTGTTTAGCATGCTGATGGTCCTAGGTTCAACCCCTGGCATCTCCAGGAGAATTGCTAGACAATATTGAGCCAAAGAGATACTTAGTATAAGGCTGTTTCCTATGCTTTCAAGACCAATTAAGTGTTTGTTCTTTTGTGTAAGGATGCACTAGGACAGTCTTTACCAACCTTGTGCACTAGGAGGGAACAACTGTATAGCTCCAGCCCTCTTCCTTTTGGGCTTTTTTCCATGCGTTCACTGTGGGGTGAACTCTCCCCAGGCCACACCCCTCACCAGCCTTGCTTCATACCCTCCTTGAGTGCTTTTGCTTGGAGGAATGTGTCCTTGAACTTCAGTAAACCCACTTGCTTGCCTTGATGGAGAATAGAGAGTGGGGTGTAAATGTGTGCAGAAACTAATCTACTGTAGGAGGATGCAGCCCTTAGTTTGTAAAAAATTCCCATCCTAATGTAGACTGTATATTGAAAAGGACATCTGTACATCTCAGCATCTATGCATAAGAAGGCGTCCAATTGCAAGGTGCTCTGCCACCTTGCATACACTTATATGTGCACAGGCAGATCGCAGACATCTTTTTCTGTGCCTGCATCCAGTTTTGTTGAGGGTTGGGGCCTGCTAGAAAAGAAGCAAGCTGAGTTGTGCAGATTAAGGTGGAAGTAAGTCAGGTGCACTCAAGTAGAGCTGCTATTAGGGTATGGCAAGGCTGAGTCAGGTGATGGTAAATCAGGTCAAAGTCATTCTGTTTGGGGTGAATTTAGGCACGAGTCAGGTCAAGGCATGTCAGTTCATTGGTGGGTTTGCACAGCAGGTTCTGGTGAGCAGCAATCAGAACCATGGATAGCACTAAGTCTGCTCTGTTAGCTGAGTAGTAGAATAATGTTGTCTCAGCAAAGAACCAGATTCATCTGAAATCTTTGCCCATGCCCAGGATAGCTGTGAGGACCTGCCATTGATTCTGCAGTTGCATGCTCCTTCATGGCTGTGTAACAGAGAAAATGACAGCGGGGTTGTTCCCAGAGTATGAGGATAGTGAAAGAGTTGTTTCCTTAGTCTGGGAGGGTGTTGACAGAGTGCTGAGGGTTCACCCAAGTGAGGTTATCTGTGATTCATCTGAGTCCTTCTCGGGGTGACATTGGGACATATATACAGGACACATGGCAGCATGAACAGCTGGCACTGAAAGCTATCACTGCCTACTATCCACATGCGCAAGGAACTTAACAGAAAGAGCCCTTCTGTTTTCAACAGTTCAAAATCAGCTCCATCAGCATGCAAACTGAATGTCATAGAACCTTAATGCTCATGTGCATACATTTACCAGCTTGGGCACTAGGCGCAAGACTTAGTGGCTAGAAAGGGAGCTGGATCCTGAAGCGTGGCAAATCTAGTAACTCACACTAATAACATTGTAACAAGTCATCCCCAATAAAGGTAAAACTAGGGACAAAATAGAGAAAGCAGTTGACAAGGACGAGGAAATTAGGCCTGCAAATAAGATCTAAGGATAGGTACTGAGAGAACATTTCAGAGGCAGGTGGTACCTTCTCATTGAAGTACCTTCTGGCCTTGAACTGAGCCTACCTGCTCAGGTTGGCCACTAGGTGCTACAGGACTGCATAGAATGGAAGAAGGTCTCCTGTTCCGCTTGAGCGTTGCTTAAGCAACAAAGTTTTCCGGGATTGTGGAGTATTCCTGAATCATTGGTGGTTCTTCAGTCCTGATTTCTGGCAAGTCCCTCAACTCCACCACCTAATTCCTCTGTCCTCAGTTCCAAACTACTATCTTCTTGTTTCTGGCTCACCTCAGTCTGCTGACCACAACCCTGCCCTAAGAGCAGAATGCTTTAGATGAGAAAGCCTTATCCCCAGTTTGAATTGAGAACGAATCTAGAGGCAGGCTCTTGTGGATTTATATTTGTGCATAAGCAGGTAGATATAAGATTTGGCATTTTTTCAGGCACGCAGTTGCCAAGCCACCTGAGGTTTTAAAGCACATAAATTGTGCTCAGAAAATTGCCCAGGAACCTGTTGCTTAGGCATTGTTGAGATGTGTTCTTATCAACTAGTCCCAATTAGCCCCATAGCAACTAGATTTTGAACTAAGTGTAGCTTCCAAATAGTCTTCAAAGACAGCCCCATGTAGAGCATATTGCAGTACTCAAAGCTGGGAGTTGCCGAGTTGTGCATAACTGTGATCCAGAATAGAAAGCCAAAGAAAAATTGTGCGTATGTTTCCTAACCATATTTCCAGTTCTGATGGGGGAAATGGCAAGTTGATGATAGTAATAATAGTAATAATGAATAATGAATAGTCACTTGTGGAAAAAAATGGCTTCAGGCTGGAAGCATTTCTTGAGGATTTGTATTTCACTGCACATCTGCCCCCTTGTGGCCATATTTATCTGCAGCAATTTGACTTCAGGGCGAACATATCCTTTCCATCCGAAGGACTTGGTAGGAAGAGGGCAGTGTTGGAAAAGGTGTGGGCAAGAAAGACCCAGGCTTTAGCATGCTGCTGCAAGATTTCCAAAGAGCTGTTGTTGCTGCAAACCAAGCACAGCTGGGTCAGGGAAGGAACAACACACAGTGGTTTTCTAAGCCCTAGCTGACAAAATATTTGAGGGGGCCAGAGCTCAGAGACGACTTTACTTTGCAGAGCTGGCAAGGCTGTGACATCACCAAGCCACACTCCATGACGCCAGCAACCATCCCCTTTTGCGTCTCAGGCTTGAAAGTGCTGAAGGCCCGTAAACTTGACCAACAGAGCCAGTTAATGCACTCAGCAACCAGTCATCACGTGCAGAGGAGCCAAGTGATTCATGTGCACATGTAATGAGCTTTTGCTGAATTTGTCATCTTATCCCATTGAAAAACATGAATGAGAGAAATTTGTTTCACTCTGCATTTCTCGTTCTACCTAATATGCACTGTCTGAAGCAATGTGTATATTTGGAGAAATCCACACTAAAATGTTGAAGTTTCAGGTGGGTTTTTTGGGGTTTTTTAAAGTGTGAACTAGTGTAGAAATGTGGAAAACTGAATTTAAGATTGGGAAAATGAGCTGCTGGGGAATGAACCTGGGGCCTTTTGCATGCAAAATGGATGCTTCACCTCTAAGCTGCAGCCCTTCCCCAATTTTGTTGTGTCATGCCATTGGTTTTCATTATTAACACTTTCATTTCATTATTTGTTCACACAACCCATGTTTGTTGTATTTTTATTTTATTTTATTTTTTTAAATTTTATTTTATTGCGTTTATATACCACCCTATACCTGGAGGTCTCAGGGTGGCTTACAGAACAAAACTAGAACACAAAACCACAAAATATATAATCAAAATAAAAAAAAAACCCCAATATCCACCCCAAAACTATTTTTTAAAAGGGCATAGGATTATTATTTATTCAGGGCTATCTACTCCTGTTATTAATTACTTAGCACCCTGGCAAAGCTGATGCCCAGTGCTTGGAAAATTCATTTTTAAAAGGAACTATTTCTTTTTCTAGTTCATTCTGTCCAAACAAACAAACAAACAAAGCCTAGGTCCAATTCAACTATTTCAGATCAAGTTCATTCAAATGAACTTTTTGGTTCATCATTTTAGTTCAATGTCCTCTGCCATTTTTTCCAACATTCAGATTGTTCCAAACTGGTGTGCTGAAGTATAAGGTCCAAAAGTAAATCAGGGGTCAGGATGAAGCTTTCCCCATAATTGTGTTTCCATACTAGAAGATACTTACCCTGTTTAATTTATTAAAGCCACATATTTTTTCCCCCCCAAGCACTGCTTATGATGCCCCATGGCTTCCCTTAGCACTACGCACTTGGATCTAGGCAGTGACTATTTAAATTTCACTCAGTGCCCCACAGTGATGCTATGTTGAGAGCATTGTGAGAAATTTAGGTGGCATCCACCTGCTGACACCACTGCCAGTTAAACCCTAGGTCCTGCCAACACAGGAAAAAGTCTAGCAGAGGATACTCTGTGGGGAAAGGGAAACCTCAAACCTACAGCTAGTTTTGCCATTCTTGAAACTCTGTGCCTCCTCCTTCACGTGTCCTCTCCCTTCTCTCAAGAAGAGCCCACACACAATCAGCACCACTGAACTAAGAATATAATCTAGATTCCGAACCCACCCCACCTCTCAATCTGAGGTATGAAGGATAATAACAAAACCTTTCCACACGGAATACCCTTCCGCTCCAACTAATGGGATTATGATATGATAAGATTCTTATGTTACGAAAATGACTCAGAAATACTTTTAAAGGGGTCCAACTCCAGATGTCCTGTTTATTGAGCAGTCGTCATGATTGTTTGTCAATGGTGAGCATTCATCCTGATTTGCTTTCAAAGTGTTTAAAAATCATTCACTCATTCCACACAATTTCAGTGCATTTCTTTGCAAATTTCCAAACCACATACTTCCCACCAAATGCTGACAGCCTGGAGGCATCCTTACATTTGTGTGTTTGGTGTGCACAAAATGGTTCTGTGCAAATTAAGAGCTTGTCACCCTACCCACCCTTTCCCCTCTGAACCCAGTGGGATCCTATTAGGCCTTAGTCAAGACATCAAAGGCACTGAGAAGCCCATCCCAAACTGGTCCGAATTCCACGAGCAAATGATGTTCCTCCTTTATCCATTCCTGCATGGCATATATTCAATACTCCATAAATATCTGCCCATTATGGGCCATGTCGGACATATATTATACCATGTAGGAAGCATAGAGTTTACAACCTAATTGCTTGAGTTGAGAGCTGCAGAAGGACTCCCACCCCCCTCCACACACAATGGATTTTCTTCTCCTGGAGCTACTAATAGCCAGTGCCTCTTTGATGTTGCCGTTGATGGCACAAACGATCAGCCACATATTCATTCGGCCAAATGCACATTTCTAGATTCTCCCAAGAGGCAGGAATTTCGAATCAGCTTTACTGTCCTTTGAGCAAGAGAGAACTGATGCTGTATTCTGAATGCTCTTCTTATTTACAAATGTACAGTGGACACTTGGGTTGCGAACGTGATCCATGCAGGAGG